TCCTACTGATGTCTGTGTAAATCGGCAACTGTGACGAGAATAAGACGCCAGAAAGAATCCAAACTCGTTAAGAGAAAGGCTCTAACAGTTCTTGAACCTTGTTAAAGCAAGGGCCTTGTGCAGCCCAACCTCGCCACGCCTCCTGCAGCTCTGAAGGCTCGGTGACCTCGGCGCTGTCTCACCTGCTCCGTAGCCTGCAGCGTTTCCAGCGCTCAGCCATGCTCCTGCTGCTCATCCCAGTGCTTGAGATGGGTTTTGCCCTGAGTAAGTAACACCCCATTCCCTTTCTACTGTCACAAAAGTGGCCGTGTTCTAATTGAAATCTGAATAGGGACCCCTTTTCTTCCTAGCCAAGCCTGCACTGTTTTCACTTACGCAGCATTGATGTTTCAGGAGGAGCTGGAGCGCAGTCAGTGACCCAGCCTGAGGACCACGTCTCTGTCTTTGCAAGGGCCCCTGTGCAGGTGAAGTGCAATTACTCATATTCCGGGAGTCCTTTGCTTTTCTGGTATGTCCAGTACCCCAAACGAAGCCTCCAATTACTCCTGAAACACACTTCAAAAGAGAGCCTCAAAGGTTTCACGGCTGACCTCAACAGGCGTGAGGCATCCTTCCATCTGAAGAAACCATCAGCTCAGGAGGAAGACTCAGCCATGTACTACTGTGCTCTGAGTGACACAGTAACTGGTTTTACAAAGGAAGCCGAACACAAACCCCTTGTGATTCAGAGGAAATATTTCTAAGTTCCCTCTTTGGCCACACGGGGGCGCTCCTTCCCTAGAGACTGACGCTAAGTTTGCCTCTCAGGGACAACACCATCAGGTGCCAAAGTTGGCTGTAGATTAACCTCAAAAATTTGTTCAAGGAAATTGTCATTACCGACTCTGCCCAAATTAATTTTTTAAATAGTAAGTATATTTATTCTATATATTACTACCGGGAAAAATACTTTTGAAATAAAACTATAAAACAGCATAACATTTTTTTTCTTGTCCCCGAGAAACCCCCCAGTTTGAGTGGCGCAGTCCCACGTCTCCGGCTCGTCTCCCCCCCCCCCCCCACCGTGTGCTCATCGCCACGGACTGAAGCGCAGCTCCTAAGTGTAGGACGGGGCTTCCTGACACATGGTTACTGACCCTTCTGCAGCTAATGCCTTTCCTCTCACGCGCTTCATGGACTCATTCTATCCAAGTCAGGGTCCAATCAGAAGAAAACACACAGCAACTTGAAAAGGGAAAGTTTTAAGAATTATCAGCTAATAACAAGACATAAATTACTTACGGGTAAAAAGAACTCTGAGGAACATAGGAACAGCAATCTGCAGGGGCCGCTTTTGTTGCCAGGATTAAGCCGGAGTTTGGAGGAAAGCGACGCACTGTGATATGTGTCCCTTTCTCCTACCGAGGCGGTGACTCAAGCCTCACTGCGGAGTGTGTGGTTGTCACCTGCTGGACGGGGAAGCCTGCTGAGCTGCCAGAGGAAAAGGCTGGCGAGCAGGAGAACACCTCCCAGGGTTCCCACACCTTTGACAGGAAGCCGGCAAAGGAGTGCTGCTCAGCCTGCCTGGGTGTTCGTGCAACGTGCCGGGAGACCACCTCGGGGGCTGTCACTGAACGTTGCTGGAGCTGAGCATCACCGCTGTTCCGCGGGCTGGCCACGCACTGCAGGGACAAGAAGTGGGAAGCACGCCAGGACCTGGGAGAGAAGCTGCGTCCTCCTGCAGCGTCCTCCCTGTCCCCTCTGCTGACAGCTTAACACCGTGCCGGCTGGCAACGGAGAAGTGTCTACAGGGCCCAAGTCCGGAATCACCCTCCAGATGCCTGGGTGACATACCTACTGGTGTGACTCAGAATGAAAGGCAATAGATTTGATGAGTGGCACACCCCATCCTTCTGGTTACTGATCTGTGGCACACACCCCTCCACACGCATGTGACCTTCCAGACAACAGTGAAACGACTCTCTATTTCTATCTAACAAGCTAAAGCCGTCCTTTGAATAAGTGAAGAAGTTCTCATCCTCTGTCCAAAATGAGAACACCTGTAGTCCCAGCAGTCACTATGGGTCACTGGTTGTGTTAATCATCTCTAAAACTCAGAGGAAATTCCACCAAAAA